TAATTAGAAAATGTATCCGAGTTGGACCATCTGGTCTTGTCTGCGTCTTCATTTGGGATTTCGCATGACCCGAAAATACCCGTTTTCGCGCTGACTAGCTTGAAATAGCGATGAACCGTGCTGCAAACCCAAAACCTACGCCATAACGCAGCGGGTCATCTGTTATCACTGGCGCTGTTGTCTTGGTGCTAAGTCAGAATTGTGCTATAACATCAAATCTTAGTTGTACGCGCAAGTTGATTAGTTCATATTGAGGCTCTTATTTAGATCCACATGCACATATTAATTGATATGAAATTTTCACAAAAGACAGGCTAACTGGAGCCTGCCAGCACAAATTATATACATGCGGAAAGCATTTAAGCAACAGAGCAACATGTCTCTGGATATGGAAGTGTAGAAATGATGGTGTTTTCTGCTGTTGAGCTGATTGCGAGGTGCCCATCGCCAAACAGTGGCAGTTGAGAGAATGAGGCACTTGGACGACATCGTTCACTCGGACATCCGTGATTCATGCTGGTGATCGTCACAGACGAAATAGCTTTACTGCAACCCTACCAACTATCACATTGACAATCTGGCAGCACAAGTCGCAACAGAACCAAACGTCACTTGCTAAATTACTTATTGTTACTCCAACGCTAATAACTCTTTATGTTACAGCAGGTTTGTGTGTGTTCACTTCCACAGCTTAAAACACACATGGAATATTGAGGTTTTAGCAAGGTACCAGCAATTCAATTGGCAAATTCATGCATCCGCGGTTGAGTTGCTGTAGTCGAAGTGCTGTAAAACGCGCGAATTTGAATGCACGCATTAAACTCTCCCCCAGCTACACCCAACACACATCCCCGATGTACCCAATTATACCACGTAAGGGCTCTGTTACTTCCCACATCGCTGGCATATCAACACACTTCAACAGCTCGCCTCCGCATGCACATGCATTGAGGTAATCGTCACAGCGTTTCAAATGCACAAACAGCGTTTCAAAATAACCACAGTTGATTTCCAGCATGAAAGAGTCGTAAACGTGATCCGATGTTAAGTTGGCTACTTGCACCCACATCAATTGTCCTTGGCAGTTTGCTCGCATAATCAGAATAAAGTAACTTGTGCCATCACCGTCCATAACTTCCAGTGTCATCGTCAGATGACCTCGTAATTAGCGACATCAAAATCGCCATTGCCAACTCTAAAACCATGCTCAGAATCATTACAATTCCTTCGTCAATGCATGAAGGTGTAAATGTCCAGCTGTCGCTGGTTTATTACGCAAAAATTGCTGTGATCAACTGATTGGAGTTCTTGTATTCGCAGCGGTTACAGGCGACGCTAAAATGACGTTTGTCAACGCTGACTTTCTTGCACGAATATCACACAGGAACTAAGAAGTAATGATTACTCTGCAAAATTAGACATTTAAACATGTGTCGGATCAAAACCCTCAGCATCGCCTAAGTTGGGAAACAAGACACGAACGCATCAAGTTCTATTTGCTACAGAACACGTACTATGCCATCAAACATTCCATAACGGTGTTGAAAGGAACAAATCTAGCTTGCACCAATCTAGCCCACTTGCCACGGTTTGCTCCATCAGCAGACGACGGCAATCGGCGCGACATCATTTCGCACGCGGATTTGAGGTTTTTCACCGAAATTGTTGCCTTCAAAGTGTCGACGTATCCACTGTTCCACCCCTCCCCTCCTGAGCACGAATCGGCGAGCAGCGAATAGACCTACGATGGATGAAGAGTCCTTCCTGCAAGTCTACGAGAGCAAAGTCCGTCGTCAGCTATACGCATGGGCCCATATCCTGCCAGATGGGGGTGCGGGGAGTGTTTAACAGAAAACATTAACATTGATGGACAGTGCGGTGAACGAAGCCAGAAGCTTAGGACACCTTCACTCCTGAGGAGAAGGAGGAGGAGGAGGCAGTGTGGCGACACTACTGCATAATACCCGAGCCCTAATAGGAAAGACGGGAACAACGGAGCAGGCCTTATTGACCAATCACAAGCCAGAAACACACGTCAGGCGCCTTCCATCCGAGTCCACCAAGCTGGCCACGCCGCTCATTACATAATGCTTCCCCGCTTACCTTTCTCGCATGCCATTGGAACGAAGTGAGACACAGGATTAGCCAAGGCCAGCGTGGTCCAATATGTCTACGTACTCAGACGTCGCCACACTACACCACATCAGAGCACGCGTTTGAGTCCAATTACCATGACCAACCACACATCTCACTTTCCTCATGAATGATGCCATCCCCAACGTCTCACACTTTCGTGTCAACTGCTCCACTAACTCGCTCCTGGAAAGGCACTCCGCAGTTCGGATTATGTCATATTTCGACACCTTGCATCCAGGAAACACTTTGTGACACCAAACGTGTCACATAAACTGAAAGCAGATTTTGATTGTCTAAGCCGGCCTGCGTCAGTGAGAGAACATTGAGGCAAAAACACCTATGCTCCCTTGAATTGATTTTAAGCTGACTGGGTGTGATAGCTAAATTAATATT